TATAAATCCCTATAAACCCTAAACCCCAACCCCTAAACCCTAAACCCTAAACACCTAAACCCTATAAATCCCTATAAACCCTAAACCCCAACCCCTAAACCCTAAACCCTAAACACCTAAACCCTATAAATCCCTATAAACCCTAAACCCCCAACCCCTAAACCCTAACCCGGCACAGAGCTTCTCTCAGCTCTGGACCGACCGTGGGGGAGACTTGCATAGAAACGCATTCCTGAAGGTTTTAGGGTTTAGGGTTTTAGGGGTTTAGGGTTTAGGGTTTAGGGTTTTAGGGGTTTAGGGTTTAGGGGTTTAGGGTTTAGGGGTTTAGGGTTTAGAGAATTATAGGGTTTAGGTGTTTAGGTGTTTAGGGGTTTAGGGTTTAGGGGTTTAGGGTTTAGGGTTTAGGGTTTAGAGTGAGCAGTGCAAAACTAAAATGGCTTCGGGGTTTAGCAATCAATGCCGGGGACTTAGGGCTTTAGAACTCACTCACTAATTAAGTCTCTTGGCAGAGGCGTCAAACCGCCACAGGGGCTTAGAGGGTTTAGGGCTCTGAAGCTTTGTGAGTCCTTGGTGTTGGGTTTGGGATTGAAGCTTAGGCAAACAACATCTGTGCATGACTATAAGCCATAAGAAGCATGCGCGTCTGTTGAACTCCTTTTTCGGAATTTCTTGGTTTAATGTCAGAACTTTGAGATTGAAGGGATGTCAACATGCCTGCAGGCGCACAGGATAGACAGATACCACAGACAGACAGCCAACACAAAGATGCAGGTAGGCGCGCGGGCAGAGGGACAAACAAATAAGCAAACCGACAAATGCCGATCACAGATACGCACGTGCACGCGCGTACACACTCACATGTGCTTTGCTATTCAGCTTCATTTGTTCAGAAACTGTTGCATGTCTCTCTCGGCTGCTCTGTACATAGAAGTACCCGTGCATGACGAACTGTTTGTCAAGTTGAATTTGTGTTAAATCCTTAATGTATTCATGTCTGTATATACAGCCAGCTGAAGGATAGGCCCGTAGAAGGCACATTGAAGAGGTACATAGCCTCATAGACAGACCACCACTTCGATGGAAAGATGAACGCACAGAAAACTCAGGTTAACTGACTAGATACTTGGATATACAGGTGGCTATTTAATTCTGACTCATTTTGTTATATTATGCTATATGTTGATCTATTGCATAGTGTCGTGTTAGGCAACAGCGACTTACATACCCAGAATCCCCCACAGGAAGAACCTTCAATGCCGAAAACCGTGTACACATACATACCTACATACATACATACATACATACATACATACATACATACATACATACATATGTATACATATACATATACATATACATATACATAAACATATACATATACATATTCATATTCATATACACATACATAGGCATATACATATACATATACATATACTACATATACATATACATATACATATACATAAACATATACATATGCATATGCATATGCATATGCATATGCATATGCATATACATATACATATACATATGCATATGCATATGCATATACACATACACATACATACATACGTAAGATTTATGTATGCATGTGTGCATCTGTGCATATGTAATAAACCACACTGCGCAGCCTCTGTGTGTGTACGCAGTGCAGCAGGTCAAATTCAGCTGAAGCACCACAGCGCGAAACTGCACATTGGCCATGCCAATCACGGCCTGCAGCAGGAGATTTGGATTTGGAGTTCGGATCTTCGGCACTTCGGCTTTCGGGACAGGCCCCGTAGCTCCAGAAAATATCGACGTGCGTGCCCGTACTCCTGAGCCTGAAGCCGTATCAGCATGCCGGGAGCTGTTTCTAGCATTCATAATGTGAAAGCTGATCGGTATTGACGTAACAAGGTGCTACTAGTGTGCGTCGAAGAATCTACATCCGGCACCGCATATGGGAAGTTTGATCAGAGGACCCGAACTGATTGAGACACCTGAAATTCCTCAGTGTTTGGACGTAGGGTCTGTAGTCGTGAAGCCTCGTGGAGTCAGGCAGTTGCGTACACGATCGTTCTCACGTGGCAACGACCCGATGGTCGGTCTGGTTGGTGGCCACGCTTCGGGCTTAAGTTTAGCATTCTTGCCTAGCTCTGCTGATTCACACATCAGGGGTTGACTGACAACACCAGACACACCACACCTGAAACTTCAGCAACGCGTCCTTCATGGGAATCTTCTATCACAAAGCTTCGGACGGCTTGGTATAATACAGGGTCTGATTAACTAGTAACCTAGCAACGGCATCCCCTTAGAGTCTTGATTATAATTCTACCATGCTATACATAATCTACCCCAAAACCCCAATCAATATAGAGTCCGTGAAGGAACCCCCTATAGCCTCCTTTAGAGATCCCTACTATAACTCCAATACGGATCCCCCCCAAAAAATAATGAAGGTAAATCTTAAGCCCCTGTAGCCTCCTCTAGGGATCCCTACTATAACTATAATAAGGAAATCCCCAAGAATAATGTAGGCAATCATTATTAAAGCCCCTATAGCCTCCTTTAAAGATCCCTACTTTACCTATAATAAGGAACTCGGTAACTATTATTGAGGCCCTTGTAGCCTCCTTTAAAGACCCCTACTTTACCTATAATAAGGAACCCGGTAATTATTATTGAGGCCCCTATAGCCCCCTTTAGAGATCCCTACTCTACGTACGTAGGCCCGACACGGACCAGGCTCCGAGTCTCGAAGCCTTGCACCCCAGGCAATGCAGGGCCGTAAGAATTAGAATTGGGCTTTGGGGGATTTAGGGTTTAGGGTTTAGGGTTGTATCGGGCTTTGGGGAATTTAGGTTTGCTTTTTGAGGGTTTAGAGTTTTTAAGGCTTTTAGGGTTGGGGGTTTAGGGGTAATCGGTCTGGGGAAGTTTAAACATAAAGGTAAACAGAGAACCAACCGTACAGGGATGGTATTTTCAAATATTCGGGTTCTACATTGGTCTTATCCAAGGACAGCGCCAGAAAGTTCACGATGAAGACAACGAGCGAATTCCTTTGCGCAGCGGGTGCAGGGTTTTAGGGTTTAGACCTGCTCGCGGGGGCCTCTGCTCAGGGATCAAGGCAACATCTACGCGTCTTTGGGACTGATAAAGACATTGACAACCCCGAAAACCCCCGATGCAAAGCTGCGGTAAGCCCTACACCCTATAAATACCTCAGAACCTAAACACCTAAACCCTAACTGAAGCCAAAACCGTAACCCTAGACCGGGAAATGATAATAGTTAAACTGGGGCTCTGCAATTTTCAACAAAGTTTTTCGGAGTCTTGATACTACCCCCTAAACCCTAATCCCCAAACCATATATTATCCCAAATCCGCGGGCGCACGGTGGACGCGGGTGCGAACAAGAGCTTGCGGGCTTCTGGGCTTAAAGCTTTAGGGTCGGTTAGGGTATGTTAGGGTTTAGGGTTTGGGGTCGTTTAGGGTATGTTAGGGTGGTCGGACTTCTGGCGTTCGGGCTTTACGGTTACATCTTGGGCCCTGCAGCACTGCAATGTTGCTTGCACACCAAGTGTCCACTCCATTGTGCGGCCCATGAAACCGAACGGCACGAACACCTGAGCTGCAGTGACGACGACCGAAGCTTTGTCAGAGGGTCTAGGGTTTATGTAGGGTTGAGGGGACCCACGTGCTCCTGCTCCTCCTAGGCTGTATGATGGCTCGATTGCGATTTGGGGCTGAACAGCTATGATTTTCAGCGTTGTGGTCTAAGAAGCTTAATTACAGTCTCTTGCTCCGGGCTTATGGTGTTCATGCATGGGTTTGCGGTTGGGTTGGGTTGGGTTCTGAAAGGGTGTGAGGTGACTCAACCGGCCTTAGGTGTGCTGACTCATTGGCTTCTTTCCCTCTCCCACTCGTCACCGATTCTCCTACTCCTGCTGATGCTGCTACTGTTCGCAGCTGAACGAGAGAACTTGGTGACAAACTGCGCGCTAGGCGGCGACTGGTGACATGGATCTGTCTGCTACAACCCTAAACCCTAAACCCTTAAACCTGTCATAAGCCGAAGCGCCAGCAGCAAACTCGCAGGCTGGCAAATGACCTGCTTGTAGCCCTGCCAGAGCAGTGCATCTGATTGGTGTCGGGGTTCTTCAGCAAAAAATTATTAGTATTACTATTATCATCATTATTCCTTATTTATTATTCTTATACTCGTTATTATTATTATTGGTATTATTATACTTGCGTTGAAACTCTGCAAGTGTTGATCCGACCGTCGCACAACCAGCCCGGCGGAACCCTCGATGCTAAATCCAGTGCTGAATCATTCGACGATGAGTCTTCAGTAGGATTAGGACACTGCCGATCGTAGACAAAAAGGGCAACCTGTGCACGGAAGGTTTGACAAGTCTTCTGATCGTAACGATGACAGGCACTGCTTTGAAACAGACCGGGGAACTAAAGCGCTGCACCTGCGGGGCTTGTACACCAATGTCTACATCTGCCTGAACACTTTCAGGCATGTCCAATGCACGTCTGAGATCTTCACTCAGCTCTGAATCACTCTAATATCGAGGCCTTAATAAGTAGAACAGGGTTTGCGGGTGCATCAAAAACAAGAGTATAAGGAGTCCTGGGATGAATATTGGTAATGATGTAGTCTTCTATATTACGTGGTAGAAGCTTGTGGATTCTGCCCAGCCGACACCTTGATTTCCTGCTCCATGAAAGTCATCTCCTCCAAAAGTACGCTGCCATAATGTAGGGGCTTGAATAATTTCAATAGGGTTTTGGAGTATACTATACTATAATTATAATAAGGAGTCCCCAAAATAGTAGAGGTAACGATTCAGGCCCCTATATTAGGGTCTGGAGGGCCGACTTTAGGGGCAAAGCGATCCCTGATGCACACTCGTCTGCAGCTGTGCGCGATCTGGACCTCGGGGCTGGGTAGCAGATAGCAGCAATAGCACACACGAACAGTCATGCGAGTTGAAGCGTCCGAAAACGGGGAGCAGTGCACCACCCTCCAGACTCCAGACATACCAGGTGTCAAAGACATTCATCGCAGCCTGTCAAAAGGACGACGGCATGAAATAGGCATGGCAGTCTAAACTTGCCAGTCCTCATTGCGGTTCAGCAAGGATCCTTCCTCGGAGAAGGGCCGTTTTGCCGAACTGCGTAGAACCAAAAAGAACACAGGCTTTATCTTATCGATGTTGCTCGAACGTTGGTCATACCTTTGTGAGCCGCTGAATGCTTTTGCTTGTGCTATTTGGGTCATAAGAGGTGTGGCAATGCTTTGCTTCATGGTTTATGCTGGCACGGCTACTTTAGTTAGCCACCGGCCGCTGCTGCTACAAGTATGTTCCAATGGTCGCAGTAGCCACCAAACCGCAACGAAGAGCACCACAGACCACGAACCCGATTCAAATCTAGACATGTTCACAACCCAGAAAGGTCATCCTCTTTCAATAGTTTAAATCTACGCCCTATCCTCTTTCGAACGTCCAAACCCTATCTTTAAGCCGGGAAAACCTTCAACTTGGAGACTGACAGCTCAAAACCTTCAAACTTCCGCGCCTTGAAACCTAAACCCCAACCCCTTAACCCTAAACTCTAAGCCCGAAACCCTAAACCGTAAACCCGAAGTCTTGGCCCTCAACACCAGACCCCCGAACCCCCTAAACCCCGACACGCCCCCAACAGCCAGACCCTGGGCCCCAAACCCTAAGCTACCCTGAACCCTGAGTCTGAGGTAGGGGCCTAGATACTTACCTACACTATTTTGGGGGTTCCTTGTTGCAATTATAGCATAATGGGCCTCGAATTATAATTGTAGTATAATTAGTATAATGGGACCTCAAAACCCTGTTCAAAATTTTGAGTCAAGGCCCCTATACTAGCCTTTTTTACATCTGGGCTTGGTGAATTCCTGCACCCGAACCCTAAACCCTATTCTACCCGGAACCCTGAACCCTAAACCCCCAAACCCTAAACCCTGAACCTCTAAACCCTAAACCCTTAAACCCTAAACCCTTAAACCCTAAAACTTAAACCCTAAAACCTAAACCCTAAACCCTTTACTACCCTGAACCCTGAACCTCAACCTTCTTCCTCCGAGCAGCTCTAGATGACCTGCTTTTTCGCACTGCAGCCTCGGAGCAGAAAGTTGAGGGTTTATAGAGCTTCCAGGGTTTAGGGTTGGAGTTTATAGGGCCTTTAGGACTGGGTTGAGGATTTAGGGTTTATAGGGTTTAGGGCTAGTGCGTATAGGGCCTTTAGCGCTGGGTTTAGGGTTTAGAGGCTTATAGGGTTTATAGGGTCTTTAGTGCTGGGTTTAGGGTTTAAGGTTTGGTGTTTATAGGGTTTAGGGCTTATAGGGTTTAGGGTTCTAGGGCCTTTAGGGCTCAGGGCTTAGGGTATAGCAAGCATGTCGGAGTTCAGGGATTAGGTTACTTGCTGCTTCATTGCTGCAAGCTTCCGCGGTTATCTAATGTAGGCGCCTTGATAATTAGAATAGGGCTTTGGGGGTTCCTTATCATTATAGTACAATACCCCAAAACCCTATTCTAATTATCAAGGCCTCCAAATTAGCTTGGCCCCTAAACCCTGACCCCTTTTTTGCACTAGGACTTGTGCAATCGCCTGAAGCTTTGAGCATGCGGAGGAAACCCTCGTCCCTGAACCCCAAAACCCCAAACCCCAAAACCCTAAACCCAAAACCCAAAACCCTAGTTAGGATCTGCTTTGCCGGTTCCTGAGCCGACTCTAGCCCCAATATCGTTCAGAGCAGTGGTGAATAATCCAGCTGTCTGAAGAGGGTCTTGGGGGCATCTTTGGCGTCTTTCAAAGGAGGGTTTAGGGGCTTCGGGCTTAAAGTTTCGGGGTTTCGACTCTCACACTGTTTAGGGGTTTCGGGTTTGAAGTTGAGGGGTTTCGGGTTTAGGGGTTTCAGCACTCACAACTAGGCAAGCAGGCGAGGATCCGGGTTTAGGGGTTTAGGGGTTCGTGTTTGGGGAGCGCGGTACGTTTCAAAACTCATCTCTTGGTTGGGCCCTAAACCCAAAACCCAAAACCCTCAAGCCCCCCTGTAGCTTGAAATTATGAAAACAGAAACTCCTCGAAACTTCCCCCGGACCTGAACCCTTAATAATTTCAATATACCCTAGACCCTAAACCCTAAACCGGCCGCCTTCCGAGTGACCACTGTGTGCTATACAGAGAACCCAATACCCCTTAACTAAGGAATATACCTTGAATCATAATATTAAGGCCCCGATAAAACTTAAGGTATAGTCCTTACTTAAGGGGTATTGGGTTCTCTGGGTATACTAGTACTACCCGACGGTTGATACTAGCATTACTCACACTATTACAATAATTAATCCCATTCCCCCCAAAAAAGAATAAAAACTCAGAAGGTGTGTTTATCATGAGGGGGTACTTGCTCGTGACATCTTCAACAAGTCATGAGTCTTGCATCCTGCAGTATTGTAGGATTTAGGATTTAGGGTTTGTATCGAGGCGATGTGTAGACTACCATCGCCACTACCAATTTACCATTACCATTGCACTTGCTTTTGTCGTTGCTTTTCGTCGTGGTCATCGTCGTCGTTACTGTGTTGGATGTTCGCCTATTGACCTGCCCCCGAGAGTTCGACTAATGGGCTAGTAGGGCCAATGCGACTGGCATGGGACCACATCTTTGGGATGTTGGGTTAAGCTCTCAACCCTATGTAAGCCTAAAACCGAAAGCTGGATACTGACGCCATAGGTAAGCCCTAGCCCGGTAATGTGCACCTAACCTGCTCAGAAGATCGCAAAGCTTCAAGTAAGCTCGGAGAGCGTTTTGACTCTGAGCCCTGATCTTATGGAGGGCCTACTGCACAGTAGGTTCTGGTTATGGCTCTGGTCGTTCACGATAGGATGTTCAGAGCGGGTTCGGGTTTAGGGTTTTTTGACACTCACACTCGGACAAAGCCTGGCAAGGTCTGTAGCGATGCTGGTCCAACGATGTTTAGGGTTTAGGGCCTCTCTTCTGCAACGCTTTCCTTGCCAGGTGGCCCTGGACAGGCGACTCATCGTGGAAAGTGGAGGCCTGGGCGCGGGCTTTTTCCGTGACACTGAAATGGGCCCAAGAATCCAGCGTTCTTGCTGTTTGGGGACGCATGGAATTCTGCTTCCTGTGGATCCCGTTGATGCCGGCCTTTGAAAGTTTTCCTATGTTCAAGGCTGATAAGTCATCAAGTCTCTCAAGAGACATAACGACGGCTCTTCGCAAGAGAGGTGGAGCAGCATGCCCTCTCAACCATGCTCACCCTCGGGTTCGGGGTAAAATCTCACCGTGCAGGTGCGGCAGTACCGCACATACAAACACAATGCTAAATTATCCATGTTGCTCTAGAAGATGGGAGATAGGATTAGGGGGACCCTTGGGGATATAGACCCTCTCAATAAGGTCCCTGTTAAGAGAGCCAAAAGTAGGGTTCAGAAGGGGTACCCTTTAAGGGGTACCCCTAATAATACTACCTAGAAGACTCCCTGTCTCCGACCAGTGGAGATGCTGAATCCTGAAGATGTTGCTCGAGGTGCGGGAAGGCAGAGTTGTTTGGAGCATTGTAAAATTCACGGCTCATGGCTCATGGCTGGTTGCTTCAATGCATGCCCAGCCAGAATGTGAACTTTACGAATCTTGCTCACATAGCTCTTAAAAGGATGGTGGACGCCATTTAAAGCGTGACTTCTAGAAACATGGTTCATGTGAGGATAACTTCCCGCGAAGTCTGGCTTCAAGCCTCCGAATCGGCCCAACCCTTGCACCGGACTCTTTTTCGAACCCTTGTGGTCGCAGTCGGATACAAGAGCAGAGCTCTCTATGCGAATGCAGGCGCCCCCGGCTGGGCATGAGGCACATAGTGCCCGCGAGTGAGCAGCGACAGCGTGCTTGAGGCGATAGGACAATGGCTGGTGGCGATGCCAGACACGCAGTGAAACGTGGTCAAAGTTTCAGGCATCAGCACCGAAGGGACCTTGGTAGACAGTGGCGAATGCTGATAGACTTATAAGATCCCCTGAGAGCTGCGACAAGGCCCAAGCGCAAGTCTCGAGATCCTCAAGATTTATCAGCAACCAATCAAGTCTTACCCTCGCAAGCCCAGAAAAAGACAACAGCTTTTCCCTGCTTCGCCAATAAATTCAGCCGCCGGGGCGGCAGAGTAGTAGGATCGCGCGAAGGCCTCCGTGCCGGGGGATTCCAACTTCTCAGCGCAGGTCACGAGATCAGTCCTCACGTTGATTCGGTGACACGGGAACAGCACTCAGAATTGATGATACTTTGATAAGCATCAGTAGATGGCCAGACTGTTTCTAAATTCAATCCATCGGTCTCCCACCGTACATATGACTTGACATAGACATCACATGGAGGTGCAACATGGGAACTTCATCTGGCTTTACTGAACCCCTCGTCAGCTCATGGTTGTAAAGTTGTAAACTGAATGCAGCACTGTATGCACCTCCCGAGTGCATGTGCACGCATGTTGTGCGCATGGATGCGCATGTGGGGTGGTGTCCGATGGCATGTCCGTCTGTGAGTGCCTGGCTGTCAGCCCGTCTCCCTTAGTTTGTCCGTCTGCCTGCGGCTACACTCCGGAGACTACGCGAGTGTTTACTTGTAGCTTTGAGCCCGAACCCTCCCCGTGAGAGCCCGAAACCGTCTCCGCGAGAGCCCGAAACCCTCCCCACGAGAGCCCGAAACCCTCCCACGAGAAGACTTAGCTGGGCTTTTCACGCTGACCATGCTGTTAGATTCCAAGGCTCACATTGCCCGTCTGCCCGGGGAAGATGAGGGACAAGGTTTCGTTGGCGATGCCAGTCACATTTTTCCTGAAGTGCTGGGGCTTCGAGTTCTGTGCAGCTTAGGACTTGCAGGCTGTTGGGATGGTAGTAACTTGATGCAGAAGCAGAATAGGGCGCGAGATCTAGTCTGCAATCATCATTATACTCTAATTTTAATGAGGAGCCCCCAAAACGGTATAGGTAATTACTTAGGCCCCTATATTATGTACAAAAGGGCTCCTACAACCTGAACACGGATCCTTCCCCACATTTTGGAGCCTGCCGGGCTGTTTACCTGCTACATTTCCCCATCTTCACCGGAGCGTACACGGTTGAAGCTTCGGAAAGAACCCTAAACCCCTAAACC